GTTTCCTTGATTTGTACTACCCTTCCGATCAGAGCATCGGATTCCATGAAGACGAGGACAGATGGTAGACACTAATGTCTATTTCTATTCTCGACTAATACTAACTAAAATCGTCGTCATTAGTGGGCGCGGCGTCGCAGCGGCAGCGAATTACGATTCTCTTGTGACACACTCGGTTTTCTAGAAGCGCAATACCAATACGCCGAGAGGCGGATAAGCTTCTCTGATTTTAATGGGTGTTATCAAAGTCTATTTGAACTATAGAAGGGAAGTTAGATCTAGGAGACATTGGACCATTAGAACGTTGACCTTTGACACTGATATCCTTTTCAGACCATTGCTCTGATCGAGTCGCTAGTTCGTGATTCGGCAAATTCGCACAGGATTTTTGACCGTCTGCAGCCTTTTCACAAGAACAGCCTCGTACGACTGCAACCGATACGATCAGCTACAGTCTCACTGGTATTCATTTCCGAATGTTATTCAAAGTTCTGCTCTGAGCAGGTAAACTTCTGATAATGACGAGCAGAACAAAGCACGCTGGTATGTGTAGATAGTGGCCCAAAAGACACTTGAGTACAGTCTTGATCGGTGCGGATGATGGGGTGTTACAGTGGGGCTCGTTGCCAGCCGGCTCTCCAGAAGCTGTGGAAGATAGCAGGCTACCACATTTGGTTCAAAACTGGCTGGCGCTGTAAAAAACTCAGCCTCTTGAAACGCTCCAGCAAACAAGACTCAAGCTCATGGCGCACTTCATCAAAAGTTACGTCACACATAGTGACAAGGGTACATGGAAGACCCAAGCAGAAAAAATGTACGCTATCGCCAACGAGCTCAAGAAGGCCTATTTGCCGAATTCTGGGGTGCTGCATAAGTTCCTAGTTGTGCCACAAAGGATACAATCGAAATCCCTGAGATGCGGTAGGCGTGGCTGCGTACTTCAAGTAAACGTGGCGGTGGCTGTGCTTTTGGTGCGACATCTATTTTGGCAGAATTGTGGTCTCTGTCCAATACACAGCAATATAGCAGTTGTCCTAAAACTGAAATATCCTAAGAGTTCCTTGTTCTATGCTATGTTCACATACCACGCTACCTCCGTCTCAGGGATAGGGACTGTACATCATCGGGATGGGTGAAATACCGCAGCACTAACATTTCTTCCAGTTTCGTTACTTTGGTATGAAACCGTTTCACAACATGCCACCCTGCCTAATTCTCTTGAACTTTTGCCTTGAGACCTCCAAGCAACTATCAGAACTGCTAGTATTGCCACGCGCCAACTGCCAAACAGGAGTGGAGAACAGTCAAAAATTGTCTCTGAAAGCCAAGGGACTCCCTAAAGGGATCGGCGCAAAGCTGCTGTTAGTCACTCGCATGTAGGTTCCTAGAGACTGGTACTAGTGATGGGATAAGACAGACGTGAGAGCAATGGTGAAGGCACCAACGGTCTAGCCGCTGAGGAATGCCGCTTTGGTTCTCAAGTTATTTTCATAGCTCGACCCTGAAAGTCACTTATCATGAGATGCTTGTGTCCTATGTAAATG